ACTTGAGATTCGGTACCGGCAGGGTTTTCAGTGCTTGCTTCAAAGGAGGAGGAGGCAGCCTTGAGCTTGTTGAGGTGTTGGAGCACTTGCACGCCTTGTAATATTTCGTCATCATCTTCACATGTTTCTGGTGGTGGATCTTTGTACAAGTTGTCGGCCATGAGCTTAACAGAGGCAGCAATGATCTTGGCCCATTCAGATATGATGGAGGCTGGAGGGTTCTGAAGCCGGAAGAGGAACCGAACTAGAGTGGACTCAGGATGTGGTGATTTAGTCGATGGTGGGATGAATTGATGCGGTTGGAGAGTACCATCTGTGTTGGCAAAACTTGCAAGCAGCGGAAGGTCTATGACATCAGGACAGTACCATTGTTCGTTGGTTGATGGACCTAAGAATTGCTTCCCTGAAAAAAATGAAAGGAGATTAGTTTGTGGATGTGTATCTTCATGTGGTGAATATAAAAGAAGAAAGCTGACCCAAAGAGCTTATTGTCTTGATCCACGAGTTGTAAGAGCAGGCTGTCCTCTGGAAGTGAAATTGGGGGCTGTGGGGGTCCAAATTGCCCATCGATAAGGCACGGAACTGGACGAGTGTTGAGAGGGAAGTCCACGTAGTTTGATACTTCTGCCAGTTGGGTTTGACCCCTTCGATCTCTTGATGGAGCTTAATCAACTTGATCCGAACATCAGTTGACTTGATTATGGTAATATTAGTGTTAGTAAGAGGGGTAGATGGTTGATCTTGGGGCTGGTTGGGAAGCTGAGGAGACTCGGTGGGAGTTGGCTGTGGCTGGCTTGAATTGGCTTGACTGTTGGGTGGGTTTTCGGAAGCAGAGGGCTGTTGAGAGTCGCCGGATGGAAGAGAGGTTGTAGGGCCCGGCGGGGGGTTGGGGATCTGGGTTTGCTGTTGTTGAGTAGTAACTTGAGAGCTGGAGATGGGGGTTGGATCTTTGGCTTGGTTTTGGACATGCCCAGATGGTAAATCGGGTGGTGGCATTGACGGTTGATGATGAGTTGAGTTTGTGGCGGAGTCTGCTCCAAGGTTGTCCGAGGGAGTGCTAGGTACATTGTTTTTCTCAGCTGTGTCTGACTGAGGGTTTGCTTGGTTTGAGACAGGGGTGGGCAAATTTGAGGCTGTTTGGGAGTTGGGCACCGATTGAGCTGTAGTTTGATTGGGTGTAGTTTCAGCGGTAGGATTGGGCGGTGGATTTGGGTGCTGATTGAGTAAGTCAGCTGGTTTGGTGGCCGGATTGCGTTTACCTCTTTTGCGTGGAGGGTTCTTTTTGAAATTCGGTGTTGATGAAGAGGGGGCTGCTGTCGCGCCTTGGTGGATCTTGATTGCTTCATCATCAGGAATTTCGCCAGTTTCCTCCCAAGCTATATCAGAATTTCATTGTGGTAATTGCATGTCAGACAATTCAGGTAAGAATCAAGATGAAACATCAAACTTACTTCTCTTGGTACGAACAAGAGACTTCTCAAGTGATTCAACTTGCTCCTTCAGGCTCCTGGGAAGTTTGAGGTTGCGGAGGCCACGTGTAGCTTGCTCGGCCGCCATCATGTTTCGATTAAATTCTTCGGCAGTGATTTGTTGGATTTCAGTGTCGAGTATGGGCTCAGAAGGGATCAGTGGGGCAGACGAGCTTGGTTCATTGGCCTTGAGAGCAAACTCTTGGAAGGAAGGGGGGCGAACTGATGGAGCAGACAGGGGGGGAACACTTTGGAAGTTCTTGGCTAGTACAGTGTCGGCTGTTGGACAAGTGAGGCCATACTTAGTCAGTGTGGGTATGAAGGCAAGATCAAGAGGACATACTTGGGGGAGGAGTTCCATGGCCTTCTTGAGAGACAGAATCTTCGGAATTGGTGTGGCTTTTGGTCGTATCACTTGCTGGGGAGATAGGATCCATTGTTTTTAGATGAGCTTCAGAGGGGGGTAGGACTATATGTGATGTTGAGATGGTATTCCAGAATGGATGGAATTATTATTATTTTTTTTTGGGATGGGGGGAGGAAGGAGCAAAATCGAGAACAGGAGAGGGGTTTTTAAACCCTTACTGACGTCTCTGGAATGGGTAACAGTCCCACGGTGAAAATTTTTTTCACCATGTGCACCCACAATCTATTGTTTGTACCGCTGAGCACATCAAAGGATGATAACATCACACAGGGGATAGATAATCCTTTGTTTATAGTTTTGGGTGTGGTCAGCATCACCACCCTTGGGAAAAGCTGTGTATTTACTTGTGTTTAAGCTCACTCCACCAACATGCTTCTTATGCCATAGCTAAGATTTGGTCTAGAATAACTTTGTTGGAATCTACCATGTGGCAGGCAGATGATCATCCTCTCTCCAGGGAAATCAGGAACCGACAAATCCTCAAGTCAGGGAAAACAGTGATTGAACTTCAGGGCAAGGGCAGGACAAACCCTGTTTACCCAGCAGTTGCACAACACTTCAGACATCCTTCAAAAACATTTGTGCACAGGTTAAGTTGCAGAAGACACAAAGAACAAGTTTATTACACATGAAGTGTGATTATTACATGAGCAGATTCTGCACCTCGGCAGGGACCAGTGTTCAAAAATGTGTCACACAAACGTACGCGCGTACGTTTGTGTGACACATGAGTGCGCTTGCCGCTCCTGCAAATCTCATGGTTGGATGTCCCAAGCCTCTAAACCACATATGTACCATCGACCACCCAACGCCATTAATCTTCATGTACCAATTCTTTGACAAAACCTCCACACAGACCGGAAACAAGTAATATAATTCCTGCCCAGTACTCAAGTACAATTCCTCCTATCCAAAGATAATACAGCATATATAAAAGAATTTAGTCTACATTCATGGACCTCTCCCCACTTGGACCGGCTTGAGCACTTGATCTCACATCCACTGATCCTCCAGCTCCGGTGGGTCCTGCCGGAGGTGCCAATGTCACAAGACTATCAATCCCCTTGGCCAGGTTTACGACAGAAAACGCGGCCGCCTCGGATACTGTATCTTGCTCGAATTTACATAATCCATCTCGCCATGACTTGCTATAACAATCAATAGGGAGATTCCGTGGAACTCCATCGATCCCCTTCTTCCTGCTGAATATGGATTTTGAACGTCCGTAGAGGTCTTTGTTGACCGATATTTGTTTGTGGTGCTGAGCTTGAGCAATCACCATCTTGTCCAGCCCATGCATCACAGTGGTAAGTGAGTCGCTTCGCCAAACAGGCACACATCTAACCGGCCGATCCCCCTCCTTTTCTGCCCCTTCGATATCCGAATGTGAATCCTTATCCGCAAGAACAACGGCTAGTCGATGATTATTAGGGTAGAGTTTTGCGGCCATCGCACACCTGTTTTCACAAATCTTGAAGACATGGATGTTTTTCATATATCAGTTGGGCTGGTATATCTCGGAGGTTCAGATGGGAAACACACTTACTTTTTTGCGCCAGCGGGTATATTGGGCTTTTGCTAACTTAGCCTTCTTCCCAGCTTCATATTCCTTGACTTCCACCCCCTGCGCTTGTTGAATCTCTCGACATTTTCCGTGGACCCACCGCTGAATGATGGCTGGTGCCTGCGCTGCATCTTCCTCGGTTATTTTCATCGAAAGCCGGAGCCATTCCACCGCCTTCCTTCCCATTACTTCTACCACCGCCCGAGTTCCACGCTGAGGAGTCGCAATCCTTTACCGTCCAATCAAAAGTCATCCTAGAAATCCCTGCCGATGCCAACTCTCTCTCAACCGCACCTTTTGTTTGGGCACTAATTGGTCGGCTGCCTCGGGGCTCACCTTTTTTGGGAGCTGGAGTGAAGGGGGTGGTTGGATGTTTTTCCGAATTTCAGATTCTGCTCGAGAGATAAAGTAGTCTTGTTCTACAACGGATTTTTCACAAAGGGTTTGACGGATGGCATCTAGCTGCTTCAAGATAAACTGAGTACGCCTTTCAATCCAATACTGCGCCTCCTTCTCCTTTTCCGTGGGAGGTGGGGGGAAATCGTGAGGCTTCTCAGGACCCCCAAGAAAAAACTTAAGAAACGATTGCACGCCTCTGGCGTATGGTTCAAAATGGCTGAAGGTCGTATTGCGTTGAGCCATTCCCCTCGCACGCCGTTCAGTTCTTTTTCTCCCCGCCACTTCTTCCGCATCGGCCTTCTCCAGTTGTTGTTGTGCAACAACAAACTTAGCTGGCAACTGTGGTTCTTTTGGCAACTTTGCCGGAATTGTTGATTGATTTTCAGACTGGTCTGAAAATATTATGCTCATCAGTATGTGTGAATAGCCACAACTCATCAAAAGATAACATATTTGACTAACCCCCAGGTGGCGCATCTTGATCCGTTTCCATCGGAGTGCTGCTAGCCTGCTCTTGGAACTTAGGAATCAGACTGGAAACCACAAAGGCAATGATGGCTTCATCGGGGGAAAGGGATGATTGGGAACCATCAGGATTATCCGTCCCAGTTGCTGCACCGCCGGTATTTTCGCCTTCATTACCCCCAGTGGGCTCATTGGTTGCATCATCGGTTGTGTTGGTGGGCATTACAAGAAATCACAGGAATAAGAACTGTAACGAGTAAACTGTGAGACCGATGATAGTAGGAGTAGTCAAAAATAATTATAATCTAGGGATGTTGGGTACATGGATGAAGCTCATTTGAACATGTTTGCAATATGAGTTGAACGGAATTTTAACTACACTTCTCTTCTGCCCAGATTTTTGACATGACTTCCAGCTTAGGCAAGATACAATTCCCTTTCAACGATCACCAACATGATTTGGTCCAACTGCCAAGTCATCTCCAAGTTTTACCTAAATCAAAGACCCTCCCACCCCTTCACAGATCGAAAACATATTTAGTGTATGTATCATGTGACCAAACTTTTATTTAAAGGGGTGCTTACAGATGTTCCCAATCCAACTGCGCTGATGGTCTCCTTTGAGATGCCAAAAGTACCACATTGGTGCCTCAGAATTGCACAGTGTCCTATGACTGCTTCGGTGTCAAGCACCACCTCCACCTCATGATCAGACTGAACCAGCCGGCAATTAAGATCAGGATAATCTTGGTATGGATCTTCGTTCCTTTGTACTTCTTTGAATGGATTCACAATTATCCAAGTCTTTCCGGGTGTTTGGTTGGATGTGAAAATCGTTTGGATTTCACCAAACCTTTGGTCCTTTCCCAGAAAAAACTCCACCAAACTATTCCCCTTGTGTCCCCTGCAGGAGGTAAATCGTTTCTGGTTGATCTCGAAAGCCTTCTGAGCAACGACCTTTGGGCTGAGAGAAAGTTCATTACTGCCAAGCTTCCCCCTTGTAGCAGCTTTGCCAAGAACAGCACGTTTCCACTTGGTCAAGTGTGACCCCTCAAGTTCAAACTGCTCGGTGTTTTTTGACTTGGACATTGAATCTTGCATTGTGGGATCTTTCATTTGGCTATTCAATAGCAGTTTGAAGCTTGAATTGATATGCCATTCTTTCAAAATTGTCTTGGGAATCTCGTCTGCAGAAGATAGGTGTATTTATTTGGTTAGCATGGTGACACACTCCTCAAGAAGATATAATGTTAGGAACATACCAGGATGATGATTGGTGGGGAGCTTCTGCAGAATTCCATTCACCCGCTCTTGGGCCCATGCTGCTGTAGATCTAGGTGGGCCCAACCTCCGTATAACCTCAGGGTAATGTTGGGTCAGGTGTAGGTTCGGGCGACTGGGTTCTTCTGGCCAATTCTCTTGAAGGCATTTACGGTAGCTTTGTAGTAGATCATCAAACTCGTCAAGATCCTTTTTTTTAATAACTGGAAGAGTGAGGAACTGTGTAACTTGGCATAAAAGTGTGGTTGATCGGAGGAGGGCAGAAGTGCGGCTCCTCTCTTCCTGTGTTTCCCAAGCCAGTGTTTGGTTTAGTCCAGAGTGGAATCAAACGAGATGGGTGTAGTATACTTTTGTACAGGATCAACCATTCCTGCAAGCCTTCAGGGATCCGTGATTTGCTGCCCCCAAGTTCCGAGGCACACGGTCCATCCAAGAGGGCACTGTGGTGTGCATGATGGTTCTTCTAACCACATCAAGCTCTTCTGCAGTAAGCCGAATTCCTCTGTCCGATTTCTCCGCCTCCTGATCATGTATTTTTCCCTTTCTTTGTTGTCTCGCAGTCTTGTCACTTGCACAAGACTCTCCATCTGACCCAATTGATTCCTGTTCACTCATATCGTACAACATTTGCTTTCTAACCCGGAGCTTATATGAGTGAGTAGATGATCTGCTGCAATTGTCTGAGTTTGAAACATTGGAATCCGTGTTGGCAGATGAGTTACTACTTGATCCCGGTTCCTCTGCTGAACTCCTGGGAGTGGGGGACTTGTTGGTGGGCACACGTCTCCTTTTGTTTGGTTTTTCGGTGGGAGAAATGGGGAGATTAGAATCACGCTTTCTCTTGCCTTTTCCCATCGTGACATATTCCTTTTTCTTTGGACCATATGTGTCGGTGTAGGGAGGTTCTGTGTATGACTGATCATTCTGCCATGCTTCATCCTTTGTTTTCTTCTTTTCAAGTTCTTCACCAGCCGTTGGCAGAGCAAAATAACGCATGCTGTGGTCTTTCAGATCCCCAAGAGCTAATGCATGCATTAATTCAATTGAGGAATATTCGATTGGACGCCAGTATTTGAGATCATTGAGAACACTCCATCTTGCACCATGCTTCTTCACCAGTCCATCCCTGTCGGTGCGGCTGTCAGTGTTTAGCCATTCAGTTGCGTGGGCAAGATGCTCTTCATGGGTGCGGAGTGGAAACTTGGATTTGTCTGTTTCTTCAATGTTCTTCTGATCCAACAGGCAAAAGGAGCAGAATAAAGTTGCTTGGTGCCCTCCAAAGCCCGCTGCCTTTCGAAGCG